AGGGTTTAGGGTTTAGGGTTTAGGGTTTAGGGTTTAGGGTTTAGGGTTTAGGGTTTAGGGTTTAGGGTTTAGGGTTTAGGGTTTAGGGCTACTAGGACCCAGAGTAGGCCCTTATTTCCTTTTTTTGGGGGATTTCAGGTTCCCTTAAACAATAAACCTTTATAAACCAAAAAGGGTACGCCCTTCTTACTCCTAAGCTGCTCCTGGGTCTAGGCAAGTCCTCTACGGCTTCGTGGCGCCGATGTTGGTCGAGTTCTCCGCGGGCGCCAGCGAAGAGGGCCTTACAGCCAGCGCTCTGAACATGAGCGCCGCTTTCAAGCTCTCCGCCCTGCTTCTTTGTCATAGTGGGGTAACATTTTACATGCTTAAGGGTGCTTAAACTGAATAAGGAATAGACATGTGAATCTTTAATCCTGTCCCAACCATGAACTAGGCTGCTGGCGGCCCTCTTCCTGCCGGAGTCCAAGCCGGCGGTTGCGGCAGGGACTGACCAGCGTTCGCCGGAGGCCGCTCAGTCTTCGCCGCGTGAGTCTTCGTGGTATCAGATCCTTTGCCAGCTTCTGGCAGACCCCACGGCAAAGACGGCCTTGCTAATTTCAGTGCTGGGCTCCTTCATGTCCCTGGGGGAGTCTGAGTTCGTAACGCAGTACACAAAGAATCAGCTGGGTGTTACGGCACCAGAACGTGCCGGGCTTCGGCTCTGCGGTGTCTTCGCGGGACTCTTCGCGAACATAGTTCTGCTGCGCGTGCTGCAGGGCGTCCTCAGCGTGAAGAGTCAGATGGCGATGTGCTGTCTCTTGGGCATGGCGTCCCACGTGCTGTACATGGTCGCTACCTCAGTCGTGGCCCTGTATCCAGCTTCCATTGTGGGGGCTTCGGGCTCCTTGATCGCAGTCTACGTGTCCACTTTGAACGCCAACGTGGCAGTCAACTCCGGCTTGCCTCTGGGGGCAATCATCGGGATTTTCTCGATCGCCACGCAGCTGGGCGCCTTGACGGGCCCGCCAATATTCTCCACGGTGTTCTTGGCCTCACTGCGAGATATCTTCTGGGGTCATTCCTACCCACAGATAACATTTGCCTTCGGCCTCTTAGTGAATGCGGTCATCCTCCTACTCTTGGTGGCAATCCCCGAATCTGCCTATGAGGGCCGGCCGGCCCCTAGCAAAGTGTCACAAGATGGAGACGAAGCATCTCCATGACGTGGGACCTGGGCCCATGGGCAGAGGCCATCGCGTTCCCAGAGTCCCGGGACCGCTACCCACAATGCACGTTGGCCACGTTGCTTTGTGTCACATGACGATGAGGCTGCTGTCAGGATAAAGGATCGAGGGTTCTTCTGGCTTCGGGTGTAGCCAAAATGAAAAGATGATAATCCTTACATTCCCTTTTAAGGAAGAATATTTTCAATGGAAAAGGACACATAATAACCCTTTTCTTGCCCTTACAGGGAAGAAGATTTTATGTGATTTTTTTGGGGGGGATTCTTAAGCAAAGAGTAGTATAGGGTCTGTTTGAGGTTCAGGGTTTGGGGTTGAAGGCCCTTACCCCAAAATACTAACGCCCAAAACCTTATATAGGGTTTACGTTTAGGGTTTAGGGTCTAAACTTATCCCCCCAAACCCTGAAACCCTCAACCCTAAGACACGCTAAGTGTCTTGGTAGCCCAGTGGTACGCTTTTTCCTTGTTTTTTTGGTTCAAGGTTCCCTTACAAAGTAACCGACCCAAAAAAGGCGTACCCTTATCATAAGATAGTTACTGGGGCTGTCAAGGTTTCCAAAAAACTCTCAACCCCCTAGACCTTAAACCTAAACCCTAAACCCTAAACTCTAAGCTCTAAACCCTAAATCCCAACCTCCTCAGACTCACACCTATGTTCTGCCGCGCCAGTTCCACATCGAAGTGCAGGAGAAGGTTGAGCCACTGCATGGCATTCTCCAGGAGGACGGAGGTTTTGGGGAGTTCCAGTTTCGTGAACCCTGAATCCTAAACTAACCCTAAGCCCTAGCCCTAAGCCCTAGCCCTAAACCCTAGCCCTAAACCCTAACAACTGTTTTGTTCGGTTTTTGGGGGCGTGAGGTTGTGGGGCTTAAGGTCCAAGCCACAGACAAAGTTGTTTTGGGGGAGCTCCGGGTTTGGGGGGGCGGGGGGGGGCAGGGGGGGCATTCCCAGCCTTACAAACCTTAATATCAAACGTCCACTACGGTAGGGTTTAGGGTTTAGGGTGTAGGGTAAAGCTTAGGGCTCAGCAGCGGGCCACCCTAACTCCGAAGCTGGTACCTTGACCTGAGATTCCCTAAATGGTCAGTCGCCTGCGCTGTAGTAGGGTGTAGGGCTTAGGGTTAGGGCGGAATGCCGATACGGGGGTTTATGAAAATAGGGGACCCGAAAATAAATCCCCAAATAGTAGGATTCTCTTACCACAAGGACCCCAATAAGGTACCCCTAATGTTCGGAAACCCCCATACTGGCTTGAAACCCTAAACCCTAAATCCTAAACCCTAAACCCTAAACCCTAAACCCTAAACCCTAAACCCTAAACCCTAAGGTCCTCACCAAGCCCCAGTCTTGGTGAGGCTTTCGCATTCGCAAGGCTCAGGATTACGTGGCCTGAGCTGTGGTGGCTTTTAGTGTCCCTGTTACACTATAACCCCTAAGGCCCCTAAACCCTAAACCCTAAACCCTAAACCCTAAACCCTAAACCCTAAACCCTAAACCCTAAACCCTAAACCCTAAACCCTAAACCCTAAACCCTAAACCCTAGCCCTAAACCCGAAGAACAAACTGAAAGTGATACAAAAGTTGGGCACATCTTCAGCCCCCTAAGACTACGGAAGGGTCATAAGGTGGGTTACACCCCCCCCCCAGTGAAGCTTCATTCATGGTCCCTTAATAAGGGTTTAGGGTTTAGGATCCCCGAACATCGCGACAATCTGAAACCTACTTGAAGGTTCTTGGGTGGTGATATGCAGCGATATAAGTGCCTTACTTAAGCTTACAACATGGGTTACCTTACATATAACCTACTCATAAGTACACATGAACCTTAAAAATTCCCTAAACCCTAAACCCTACACCCTAAACCCTAAACCCTAAACCCTAAACCCTAAACCCTAAACCCTAAACCGGGGGCTTTTGGGGGAATCCTTCGAAAGGAGCGCATCTTGCAAGTGGACCGACACGAGCTTGTCGAGGTCGTGCGCGAGGCCTTAGGGTTTAGGGTTTAGGGTTTAGGGTTTAGGGTTTGAGGAAAGTAGCGCGTATGGTTTCGGGTTTAGGGCTTGGGGATTAAGGGTTTCGTTATGGTTTGGGGGGGTCGGGGGTTTGGAGTTCTTTGGACTTAGGTCTTCGGCTTGGGCAGCCATAAGGTTTATGGTTGCTGGGGCTTGGGGGCTTTAAGGGTTTTGTATTGCACGTTTTGGTGGGAGAAATGTGCCGCGCAAAGCGGAGTGTAGTTTTATCTTCTTAGGATATGCCTCAAAACCTGTTGCGGTAGTCAGCCATCTCTGCCCCATGTCGAGTGGTGTAGTCGCGTGAAGAGAACGTGTCAGCTGCCATCACAAGCCAGTGCTTTGCACACGAATTCGCCAAGCCTCCCTTAGGAGGGCCTGGTTTGGGGGCGTCTGCAACATCTGGGCCTTATATTGTGCAGGCTAAATGGCATTCCCCACCTAAACCCTGAACCCTAAACCCTAAACGCGAAACCCTAAACCCTAAACCCTACACCCTAAACCCCAAACCCTAAACCCTAAACCCTAAACCCTAAACCCTAAACCCTAAACCCTAAACCAATCTTCTGGACAGGTAGCGAAGCCGGTCGTGGAGTACGTGCACAAAGAGGCACAGGGCTAGGAGCCGAATAGCCCAAGGGTTTGGGGCCCCGCTCTAGGTGTTGCAATGTCACTTGGTACCGGGTATAGGGTTTTCGGGGGGTTAGTTAGGGTGTGGTGCTGGGCAGTGGCTTTCTAACACCGAAGCCCTGAACCCAAAACAAACACCCCTCCTTCCCCCCTCCACCCCCTTCCTCCCCCCACCCCCCAGGCGCCAAAGACGGTTTTTGTTCTGGATTTAAGGGTTCTTTTTAGGGTTTAGGGTAACAGGCCCGAGTGCCCCTGAAGCATTGTTCAAGCTAGTCCTTTGTGATAGTTCCTTGTTTTTTGCGTAGTTTTGTTTGTGGGAGCCAGGGGCTCCGTTGGAATCCTACAAGTTCATGGGCATTGCTGGGTAAGGGAGTGGGACTTGCAATTTAGGGTTTAGGGTTTAGGGTTTAGGACGTTGAATATGGCACACCGAACCGAAGAATGGCTTTCGGGTTCAATGGAAGCCCTTCCCATCGGATCTGAGGCTGACAGGCAAGGCTCTCCAGGTTTCAGACTCAGGTGCCTTCCCCTCCCTACTAAACCCCAAACCCTAAACCCTTCCCCTCCCAGGGGTGGAATCTAATGCAGGTCCCGCGTTACGAGACGCGCGCCGTGGAGAAGGCCCTCTTTTCAGGGCCTGGCGCAGCTTCGGGATGCTCAGGGTTAGGGTTTAGGGTTCAGGGTTCAGGGTTCAGGGTTCAGGGTTTAGGGTTTAGGGTTTAGGGTTTAGGGTTTAGGGTTTAGAGTTTAGGGTTTAGGGTTTAGGGTTTAGGGTTTAGAAGGGTTTAGGGTTTAGGGTTTAGGGTTTAGAAGGGTTTAGGGTTTGGGGTTTCTAGGGGCCTATGGGGGTTTATTCGGGTTTATGGCGTGTCCGTGACCTCCGTGTTACTAGCAGGGGTGTAGTCTGGGTGGGGTAGTACGTAGTACCCTAACCCTAAACCCTAAACCCTAAACCCTAAACCCTAAACCCTAAACCCTAACCCTAAACCCCAAACCCTGCAGGGTTTGAGCTCTGGCCTTGGCTTGGCTTTTCACTGGCTTAGGTCTTGGGGTTGGGGTGGTGTCCCTGAAGTGTTTCGGGACCCAAAGCCTACTTTCTTGCAGGTTCTTACCGTTGTCATTGTAAGGACGTTTTCCAGGGATCACAGGAAACACAAAATAAACAAACGCCAAAACAAATACTTGAGTACTGGTCCTTAGATCATGGTAGCAAAAAGGGTTTAGGGCTTAGAGACGCTCTAATCCTTACGTAGGACGCCACGAAAGGGTTCCCCTGTTTCGGAACCCCCCCCCTCTTTCCTTGGATCCCCGTTGCAGTTCACCCTAAACCCTAAACCCTGAACCCTAAAGCCGAAACCCTAGACCCTAAGCCTAAACCCTGAACCCTGAACCCTGAACCCTAAACCCTAAACCCTAAACCCTAAACCCTAAACCCTAAACCCTAAACCCTATCCCTCTGTGAGGGATCTTGGAGTTTCTGGGGGCCCAGGAGTTGAGGGGTCTCGGGTTTCGGGTTCAGGGCTACTTGAAGGTTCACGGGTGGTTGTATTTGATATGTAGAGTCATAAGTACCCTCAGGTTATCATATGGGTTGCCTTACTTCAGAGGGCGCTTATGAGTACTCTAAACCCTAAACCCTAAACCCTAAACCCTAAACCCGAAACCCCAAACCCTAAACCCTAAACGGGGGGCTTTGGGGGAAATTCCGGCGCAGGTTGTCGAGGTTCCGACCGTGATGCACCAGGAGGTCATCGTGGAGGTGCCTGAGATCCAGGCCGGGCACCCTGAAGCCTTGAATTCTGAAACTTATGGCCACTTCTCTGATGGGTTTAGGGTTTAGGGTTTAGGGTTTAGGACTTAGTAGCTGAGTGAGCAAACTTTACACTTTTTGGGATACTATTATAATCCTCTATAGCACTGAAAGTGTACACTTTTTTTGGGGCTTATGAGCTCTGAAACTTATACGGCCACTTCTCTGAAGGATTGTGGGTTTACGGGCTTATGGGTTTGGGGTTTAGGGTTTAGGGTTAGGGTTTAGGGGTTTAGGGTTATATGGGCTGTCTTTAAGTAGGGTTTCTGTTTTATAGGGTATATATTCGGGGTTTCTGATTTGGCTATCTAGGGGTATACTGAGGTATCAGGGAAGCAGATAAAGAGGCCGCCGGCCTTAGCAATCTAAACCTTAAACCCTAAACCCTAAACTCCATGCAGGGTCACTCCAGGGGACTGGTTGTAGTTCGGCCTGACTTCCGCGGCATCTTCGACTGCAGGAGGTGCAACGTCTGCCCCAGGATAGAACTTACTGGTTTTAGTACTATATGCTCCTTTAAAAGGTATTTGTGGGGGGGGGTATAAGGTACCTAATTCCCAGTTCCTTTTCATCCGCCCTCAACGTTTCACCAAGACCCTACCTCGCCTGCCCTCGCCTCGCATGCCCTCAAGGAATCCCTCAACACTCAAGCACCCCACCCGTCCGCGGAACCCCAGCCACCCAGTGGCCGCACCCCGACAGCTCCCAGACACCTCACTTGGGCTCTGGGCTCCCAGGTGTAGAGGGTTCAGGGTTCAGGGTTTAGGGTTTAGGGTTTAGGGTTTAGGGTTTAGGGTTTAGGGCCCTAAATCCCAAAGTCCATCCCCTGTGTTCATCCTCTTGCCTTAGCCATCAAACAATCTGCCGGCAGAGGTCGCCGAGGCAATCAAGGAGATGCCGAACGAGATGACGCAGCAGGCGATCTAGGGCTACCAGTCGGCTCCCTTGTCCCTAAACCCCTAACCCCTAAACCCGAAACCCTAAACCCTAAAAAGCCCCAAAACCCTAAACCCTTCAAACAAGAAGTATCCCTTTCATCCCTCCCTACTCTTGGACCGAGTCTTGGCGCTGTTCCAGATCCTGCGCCTCTTCGGGTTGGGGGTGTCGGGTTTAGGGTTTAGGTTTAGGGTTTAGGGTTTAGGGTTTAGGGTTTAGGGTTTAGGGTTTAGGGTTTAGGGTTTAGGGTTTAGGGTTTAGGGTTTAGGGTTTAGGGAATGTGAACTGATAGGTCTGAAAAGTCCACGAATCGTTGTATGAGCCAATTTCAGTTCTCACAGTGATTCTCACACTTCTCTTCGGTCTGTCCCCGGTAGTAGGCGATCCCGCCAGCCGTCTGCTGGGTGTTGTTTGTCTGCTTGTTTCCTCACATCTCTCACAAGCAGTGTTTGTAGTGTTTGTGTGTATTTTGGCGCCGCCCTCAGAAGTATAGGAGTTGGCTCAGAGCTTCTCACTGGCACTTTTGCGGTGCGTCGGATTTGTGCCTCAAACAGCGCTATTTCCACCTGAAGCTTGAGAGTCTGTCCACGAATCTGTAACCCAAGCTCCAAACTCTAAACCCCAAACCCTAAACCCTAAACCCTAAACCCTAACCCTAAACCCCAAACCCCAAACCCTAAACCCTAAACCCTAAACCACAGTCTTCCAGGCCGTGAAAGAAATCCCGAGGTATGAGATGGAGCGGCAGCCTCGGTATGGTCTGCTAGGGTTTAGGGTTTAGGGTACCCGAAAACCATGAACCCTAAATGCCTAAGCCCCTCGACCCTACGCCCAAAATCCCTAAACCCAACACTTTTGAGGAAGCAGAAGGGTTTTGAGCGTGGACCCCCTAATTTCAGAGCCAATTTAGAGCCCTTTGTTTAGCCAGAGGTAAGGCTTGTGGGTTTCCCTGACCCTAAGCCCTAAGCCCTGAGCCCTAAGCCCTAAACCCTAAAGCCTAACCCCTCAACCCTAAACCCTAAACTCTACCCTAAACCCGGGCGGAGTGGGTGGGTTTCGGGGGTTTTGCTAGCAGGGCTTTGGGGGCTTTACGGCCTTCGCGTCTTGGGGTGCTGGGAAGAATTCCACGCACCAATCTCTCCTTGCTAGCGATGGACCTCGAACCCACCTAGCAGTGCTTGAATCAACTTTAAAACTTCAAACCCCAAATACCCTAAGACCTTTCCCCCCCCCTCTGTAGATCCTAAACCCTGTAAACCTTTTTTGCTAAGCTCCCTCAACCCAAGACCCCAGAACCCTGAAAATTCGCTAAACCCCAAACCCTCAACCCTAAACCCTAAACCCTCCCCCCCAAAAGTCCAGGTATGTGCAGAAGGAGCTCCAAGTCACGGGGACGCTGCCCAGCGTCGGGGGCCCAGTTGCGTGGAGATTTCAGCCCAGGAAGGTCGAGGGGACTGAGGGCTTGTGGGTTTTAGTTCTTTAGGCAGGGTTGATTTGCTTAGGCCGCATGTAGGTACGTCGTGGGCCTACGGGGTTTAGGGCACGGGTACAGAAACAGGTACGACCCCGCGTTCCCTGCTTGGGCTTAAGGGGTCGGGACCTTTTCTAACAGACACACAGGGTTGAGTTATTTACTTAGTAGCTGAGTGAGTACACTTTACACTTTTTGGGATACTATAATCCCCTATAGAACTGAAAGTGTACACTTTTTGGGGGCTTATGGACTCAGCAACTAAGGTTAGGGAATAGGGTTAAGGGTTTAGGGTTTAGGGTTTAGGGTTTAGGGTTTGGAGACACATCCCCATCAAAGCTGGCGCAGGCGACTCAGCAGACCCACGCGGTGCCAAGCGGGATGTCCTGCCGGCAGGTCTTGAGCATGGGGGGCGCCCAGAGGCATGTTTAAGAGTTTCTTTTTCTACTATTTGCGTAAGAACACAAAAACTATGAGATAATAGTCCCTAGATTACCCTTGTGAGGAAGTTTCTGTTTTACTCTTAATTCGGGGGTTCTTAAACAAATAAAGCAAAAAAGTAGTTTTCTGGTTTCATTCACAAACTGACTAGCCAAACAAGGAAAAAACACACGCGTCGAACCTCCTCACCCTGTCTCTAAAGCCCAATTGCAAGGATTTATTCCGGTCCCGTCCCTGGCTTGCCTATTCAGGCAACGTTTCGGCACAGTTGACCGCGTTATCATGAGCTTCTCTGCCCTGTCTATTGAGGCTCAGCTGGGCCAAACTTCGCAGACCAGGCAAGTGTACCAGCATGTTGCCTCCATGCGTGGGCCAAGGAGGCTCAGGCTGGCAACTGTACCAGAATGTTGCCTTAACAAGCAGGCCAAGGAGGCTGTGGTCAAGGCAGGCACTTGTACCGGAATGTTGTTGGCCTGCGATTATGTGTGGTCACATTCCGGTACAGTTGCCCGCCTGAGGCTCTCTGGCCTGTTTTCTGCGTGTGGCCACATTCCGGCACAGTTGCCCGCCTGAGCCTTTAATTCCGGTACAGTTGCCCGCCTGAGCCTCCTTGGCCTGCTTGTTGCATCTGGCCACATTCAGGCATTGCCCGCTGAATCTGCTGTCTGCCTGTGGTCCTCACTGCTGTACTGCCTTCCGTCCTGAGAGTCGCGTCACATGATGTGCGTCACAGCTGTGTCCTTAAAATCTAGCAACCCCACTTGTCCGGTGGGAAATAAAGCACTAGCAAACCCCAAACCCGAAACCCTAAGCCCCCGGTGTAACATGGTTTTCCGGGCCACATCAGCGAGTGCCTGCGGCCCCGCTCCAGAACTTCAGTCTAACTACCTTAAGCCCCTAAGCCCTAAGCTATGCCCAGAGAGCCCAATTCCTCTTAAGGATCCCTATGCAATTTCAGGTATATTCCTATACAGGGTGTAGGGTTTTGGTAGGGTGGCCCGAACTGAATAATCCTCAAACCTGTTGTGGGCAATTCATTGCAATAGACACTCGCATCGGGTTCTCAGGGAAGCTACGAAAATAGCCTAGGCCCCTAAACCCGAAACGCTAAACCCTATACGCTAAACCTGAGTTTTTGAGGTAAGCCCTTCACCAGTAAGCTCGGTAAGCCCGAAGGGCATTCAGAGGCTGAGACTTCTACCTAATTTCTTGGGGTTTAAGGTTTAGGGTTTAGGGGTTTGGGAGGTCTTGATAAGGAACTTAGTTCAGTTACCGTAGTAGGGTTAGATAGTAGATAGTATGGCAACCTTATTGCGCCAACTTTAGCCTAAATCCGAGCCCCCGAGCCGTCTGAGCCTGGGTGGTTGAGCGGTTTGAGGGTTCGGGGATTAACGGTCGTGGGATGGGGCTTTCGAGCTTAAGCTAGTTGATTTGCGTGTAGGGCCTTTGCCAAGGGAGACGCGGTATGTTTAGTGGTTAGCTCGCTGGCCCCGTGCCCACGCCGGAAACCATCCATGTGGAGGTGAAAGTCAGCATCGGGACGGGTTTAGGGTGTCTTTCACATATAGGCCTCGCCTGCCCTAACAGGCGCCCGGGCCCAAGCCCTACTTGAAGGTTCATGGGTGCTTAAACGTACATTTTGGTTATACTATAGGCTCCCTTACCTGCAACTTGTCACTCTGCCTGTAACTCCCATGAACCTCCAAGTATCCCTAACCCTAAACCCTAAACCTTAAACCCTAAACCCTAAACCCCAAACCCGGGCGGAGTGGGTGGTCTATGGATCCCTCGTCATGGCAGGAGCTCCCCGCGAATGTGCCCCACCGCCCGCTTTTGCTTTTGGCAGCTGTACATGTTTTCTTCGCTAGCAGGAAGCTCCACAGAAAATGGAGCACGTAATACATAGTCATAAATGGAGTATGTAATATATATATATATATTGAACATCAGATAGATAGGTGATAGATAGAGGCATATGAAATACATGTTCATTATCTGTGTTTGCGCTTTGCACCTTATGTGTCTATGGTCCACATTACATGCCAGATGCTTGTGTATCTAGTGAATACATATCGTGGATCTAATGTTTAATCGTCTATATATGTCTATATATATATATATGCGTGTGTATGTGTGTGTGTTTCTACTTTCACCGTATTTTTCTTCATGCCCTGTGGTTTGTACTATAGTGTGTGAGTATATAATATGCGATATGTACCGCCCCTGGTTTTCCCCATGAAATGAGCTCTCTTGTTCGAGCGCTCATCATGCTGCTAATGCTACTTCATGACTTCATGACGGTCAACTTCCCTCCCGAAACCTTGTCTCAAAAAGTTGAGGTTGCAACCGCGGAAGAAACCCATAGATATATTGTCCTTGGCAGTCATGTGATCTCTCACCGCATACAAGAATGTGTGTTACAATATATATATATAGCCCAAAACCCTAAACCTAAACCCTAAACCCTAAACCCTAAACCCCAAACCCCAAACCCTAAACCCCAAACCCTAAACCCTAAAAACCCTAAAATATGCATCCCTCGCCCCTCTGGGGTGGGAGGCTGGGGATCGAGGTAACTAAGGACTTACGTTGCGTAATCCTTGAAGAGAACCTATAGGGACCCTAATTCCCGACTGCCTACTGCTACTACTGTTACATCGACAACGATTCGCACTACCACTACCACCACTATCACTACCACTACCCTATGAAGAACGGGCAAGACAACTAGTGGTCTTGCTAGGGGCTACTTGATTTGCTGCTCCTTTGCCTTGAACCAGAATGAATATGTACATATATGTATGTAATACAATATAATATATTATCATATCATATCATATGGTATAATATCATATAATATCATGTAACAGAATATAAGATGAAAAATATATGTATATATATATACATATATAATGCTTTGTACTGTACTGTAATGTAACGTAATGTAATGTAATGTAATGCAATGTAATGTAATGTAATGTAATACAGTAGCATCGAGAGAGAGGGAGGGAGAGAGAGAGCCCGAACTTCAGATTTTTGCACGGCACGTCGATCATGTCAAGCTGTCGCTTGCATCAACCCCCAGAGCCCTGACCCTGCAGGTACGGCAGGGCTACGCCGCCCATGATGGGCCCACCATTGGTCGGGCCTGCCGTGGCGATGGGGCCGCCCATTCGAGGTCCTCCTGTGAGTGCCCCAACCACTGGCCTATCGGTGGCCTCCGGACCAATGGTTTCCGGACCTCCCATGGTCTCCGGACCTCCCATGGTCTCCGGACCTCCCATGGTTTCCGGACCTCCCATGATTTCCGGACCTCCCATGGTTTCCGGACCCCCCATGCCCATGGGCGCCACAGGCCAGGCTATGGCCACCGGCGTTGTGACGACAGGTGCCGCGATGACCACCGGAATGTCCGTGGCCTCAGGGCCTCAGGGAGCCATGGGGGCTCCTCGGCAGCACAGTTCAGAACTTTCAAGGTAGAGAGCGTGCGCCGAAACCCTAGAACCGCGGAACCCTAAACCCTAAACCCCAAAGCCCCTGAACCCGAAACCCTAAATCCTAAACCCTAAACCCTAAACCTTATAAACCCTGAAGCCCCAACGCCCTCAAGGCTTCGGTGGCATCCGGGACTGTCACGGTTGGCCCGCCTGTAGCCATGGGGCCCCCGCTGCTTGACTGCCCTGAGCAAGTTTAGGGTTTAGGGTTTAGGGTCTAGGGTTTAGGGTTTAGGGTTCTTTGGGTTTAGGGTTTAGGGTTTAGGGTTTAGGGGGCATAGTAGTTTTTTTTTTTTTTTTCAGGGGCTCGCGGTGTTGAATTGAAAATCATGGAACTATGTGTTCTGTGGGACCCCCTTATGCACCCCAAAATACTAGAAGCCTAGTTGAAGGAACTCCCTAGAAAAATGCCCTACGCCCTGCGTGCTATTTGCTTAAGACCCCCCTCCCCAAAAAGCCTATATTGTCCTTATATAAGGAATCAGCATTTGCTGTGTTGTTGTGTAGTTTTGTGGGGCTTTTCTTCTTGGGCACACAGCAGTTGGGTGCTCTGTGTGTCTAGCTTGAGCCGGGTCACAGGACCCGCAGATCGCCTCTGTATGAGGCGCGCGCTGTAGCGGAGGTATGAGTGTAGCGTTGCCTCTACGGTGTCACATGGACAGTTTGGATGCCTCAGAGCCTGTGTGAGTGAGTGAGTGAGGTGCTTAAACAAAGGACTATTTTTCCTTCCTTAAGGGGCGATGATTGGGCTCTTTGAGAACCCGAAACTTTTTGACACCTCTGCAGCTCAAAAGTGCGCAAAGCCAGTATCATTCCGAGAGCAAGAACTATCTTATTGAATTGGGGGTGGGGGTGCTTCCGAAAGATTAGGGCTCAGGGCTTCTAGGGTTTTTATGTGGGGGAGTTCTAGAAAAATTGGGTTAATGGAAGGGGCACTCGATATTGGGAAGCGAGTTCAGCTCACTCAGCTCCACCTATCAGGGACGATTCGAAACGGAAACCCTAAACCCTAAACCCTAAACCCTAAACCCTAAACCCTAAACCCTAAACCCTAAACCCTAAACCCTAAACCCTCAGACCGGGCTTTCAGCCCCGGCCAGGATCCAGGTCGGGCCTGGTGTGGCGGTGACCGGGCCAGTTCGGACGCCAGCCCGACGCGAGTTGGGAGTTTAGGGTTTAGGGTTTGGGGTTTAGGGTTTAGGGTGTAGGGTTTGGGGTTTAGGGTTTAGGGTTTAGGGTTTAGGGTTTAGGGTTTAGGGTTTAGGGTTTAGGGATAAGAGACGGATTGCGGGTTTTAAAAAGTTCTCTATAGGTCATCTTGTCGGGTTCTTAGGGGAGGGGGGTTCATGGGGGACCTAGGGACCCTTAGGAAAGCTTAGGGAGCCTTGGGGCGTAGGGAGTAGTAAGGAGTTTTAGGGAACCTTGGGGCTACCTCCCTTAAGAAACTGAGTTTTGGAGTACTACACTTTAATACATTTTTCTTGGCTCTGGGTTCCTATTATAGCTACTTCTACCCAAAAAGTATACACTTGTTTCTAGAGCCTACTCCAAAGTAGGGGAACCCTATAATCATTTGGTTTGCAGCTTTCTGTGTGCATTCGAGGGCACTCCCAGGTCTCGCAATGAAACCCTCAACCCTCAACCTTCAGCCCTAAGCCCTAAGCCCTAAGCCCTAAACCCTAAACCCCTAAACCCTAAAGCCTAAACCCTGCTGTCCATTTACATGGGCGCTCGAGGCTTCGACCGAGGTCCCCGACCGAGCGTCTCCACAGAACGGTGAGGGAGGGTCAAGCCTCCCGGTAGACGGGGCCTGCAGTGCCTGGCTGCGCCTCCGACCTGGAACGTAGGCCGACCCTCTCAAAAACACCCCCTTTCTCAACTCCTGTGAGACTGTGCCCTACACTTCCTGGAACCCTCCTGGGAACCCCGGCACCCTGCAACCCTCCTGGGACGTTTCTGGGACGCGCCGGGATGGGAATTTTTCTGGCAACCCTGACACGGGTTTTTCTGGCCTGGGACCCCCCTGAACCCCCTTTGCGACCTTCTGACATGGGTTTTTCTGTCTTGCTACGACCAGTTGGAAGCAGGGGCCGGCCGACCCCCTGCCATTTTGCTGCTTCATTTTACTCCCCCGCTACCCCCTGCCGTTTTGCTGCCCTTGAGGCTGCATGAAGCCCCGAGTTCCAGCAAAGGACGGTTTTGGGCACCCCTCCATTGTACTCCGTGGAAGCTTTCGAGCCACTGACAGGCTCCACAAAGCTCGGAAGGCCCCACCCTTGCTCTTCTCTGTAAAAAGCAAGAAAGCCCCTGAGGGGGGTTTGGGGGGTGAACCCTAAACCCTAAATCAGGTGGTTGGGGTGGGACTACATGCTAACGCAAGCAAGCGGCCCGAGTGCTTTTAGCACCAGCGAGCTTCCCTTCTATACACCCTAAACCCTAAACCCTGAACCCTGAACCCTGAACCCTAAACCCTAAACCCTAAACCTTAAACCTTAAACCCTAACCCTGAACCCTAAACCCTAAACCCGAAACCCTAAACCCTAAACCCAAACCCTAAACCCTAAACCCAGTTGGGCCAGGGCTTCTCAGCCCGCGGTGGTGTCGCCGTTGCCGTGCGGCTTGCATGTCTTTCCCTTGTTGGGTGTGCCACAAAAATTTGCTGAACCCTGAGCCGTTTAGGGTTTAGGGTTTAGGGTTTAGGGTTTTGGGTTTTGGGTTTAGGGTTGAGGAAATCTGCGACTTTGAAAGCAAAGCTTTGAGGATGCTCTGGGCCACAGCGTCACGGCTTAGGGTCAGGGCTTGCAAGGATTTCAGGTCTAGGGTTTAGGGTTTGGGTTTCGGGTTTCGGGTTTCGGGTTTCGGGTTTCGGGTTTAGGGTTTAGGGTTTAGGAAGCTGCGAAACCCGAAGCCCTCAACCCTAAGCCCAAATGCTTCTGAACCCTAAGCCATTAAACCCTAAACCCTCTGTCTACAGGGAAGCATTATGACCTTGGAATTGCACATGGCTGGCTTAGGGCACCCAAAGCCCCCCCCCCCCCCCCGCACCCAGCCCATGTTACGATGGCAGGACCTACACGGGAAGGCTTGGCAGGGCAAATGCTGGGACTGGCGGAACCCTAAACTCCAAGGTCTACACCGTAAGCCCTAAACCCTTAACCCTAAACCCTAAACCCTAAACCCTAAACCCTAAACCCTAAACCCTAAACCCTATAGGTAGTCCCCACTTCTGGGGCCCTGCCTGAATCCTGAGCATTAACCACGACCGCTACAACCACTTCCGCGACGGACGATTGCAACTACTAAGATATGCTACTACTACTACTACTACTACTACTACTACTACTACTACTACTACTACTACTACTACTACTACTACTACTACTACTACTACTACTACTACTACTACTACTACTACTACTACTACTACGTTTACCGTTGCTAGAGACTCACGAGTACGAAGTGTGAAGTATTCGCCATGGCAACCACCGACCATAATTCTCAATGCCTAATGGATGGTTGCTATTAATGCCTACTTATGACTAGTCTCCTCAATATGGTTTCGAGAACTCACATTCTTAGTGTTCATACGGTTACTACGATTACTACTAATGTTATTTTTTTGTATTTCGATTCCACTTAGCCCTAACCCCTAAACCCTAAACCCTAAGATTAAGCGTGCCTCAGGACCAGTGTGGTGGCCACGCAGGGGCAGATGGGAGCTGGAGCCATGCCCCTCGGCGAACGTGAGCGTTTCAGGGTTTGGAGCTTAGGACTCGGGATGGGTTTAGGGTTTAGGGTTTAGGGTTTGGGGTTCAGGGTTTAGGGTTTGGGGTTTGGGGTTTAGGGTTAGGGTAGTTTCATGGGCCTTCAATATGGTCCCAAACCTCCTTTAAAGGGTTCTAAGGGGCATCTAAGGGGTATCCTGTTTAAGGGCCCAGATTAAGGGACCATGTAGCTACCCTGAGATTGAGGTTTAGGTGTTAGGGTTCGGGGTTTAGGTTTTGTTTAGGGCGTAAAAAAGGAGATCTTGATGCTTGAGATATGTCTTGCCTGGTATGAGATCTGTACCCTCGGACCTGAGACACCATGAGCTCAGCCGAGGGTTTAGGGGCTTAGGGGCTTAGGGGCTTAGGGGCTTAGGGGCTTAGGGGCTTAGGGGCTTAGGGGCTTAGGGGCTTAGGGGCTTAGGGGCTTAAGGGCTAGGGTTTAGGGTTTAGAGTTAGGGTTTGGGGCCGATGCTCTCAGAATTTGCAGGCTGAATCCAAGCAATGTTGACATTCGAAAACTGTGTCCAACGCCAACGCCCCACCAAGAAATTCCCAACCCGACCCCCACCTCCCAGCACACAAGCCCTAAACCCCAGGCCCAAGCCCCAGACTGCTTACACCTGAATCCCTGAGCTTCTGAGAGCCAGGGGGGGGGGGGTGGGTCGTTAGAGTCTAAACTAAACCCTAAACCCTAAACCCTAAACCCTAAACCCTAAACCCCAAACCCGAAACCCTAAACCCCAAACCCTAAACCCTAAACCCTAAACCCTAAACCCTAAACCCTAAACCCTAAACCCTAAACCCTAAACCCTAAACCCTAAACCCTAAACCCTAACACATCACACAAAGGCTCGCGATAATTCACTCCCACGCTGAACTTAACCCTCGCAGACCGGCCTGCTGGCACTTTACGTCGAAGTGTATAATCAGGCTACTAGTATTTTAGGGTTTTAGGGTTTAGGGTCTAGGGTTGAGGCGATAGGGTACCTTATTGGGGTCCTTATGATAAGGGAATCCTACTATTTGGGATTATAGTTGGCGTCCCCTATGTTTGTAAACTCACATTTCTGCATGGCTCAACTCGGACCCTCTGACCATATCCCCTTTTTTAGGGTTCAGATTCCCTCATAGAGCGCTTTAACCCAAATGCGCTTTGTATGCCTCGGTTACCCTTGGGTCACCCTAAACCCTAAACCCTAAACCCCAAACCCTAAACCCTGAACAGCTGTTCCTGTACAAAGAACTGAAGCTCTCGTGCCAGGATGTATGCCGGGAGGCCAGGCATTGCGACTTGCGGATGTGAGCGTGAGCGTCTTGTGACTACAATGTTGCTGATCCCTAAGCCCAAAACCCGTATTGTTACTATAATGATGCTTCTTGCTAATCCCTCTACCTACAACACGCAAGCACACAAATAGACACACAAACACACAGCAAGCAGGCAAGCAGGCAAGCAAGCAAGCAAGCTAAACCCTAAACCCTAAACCTCAAGCCCTAACACTCACACAGAGATTTTGCACAGTCGCGATTGCCACTGCGCAAGAAACTGGCTTACCCACACAGGTGTACCCTACTTGGAGGTTCATGGGTAGCTATAGTAGGGTTAACCAAAAATATATCCTTGCTTCAGGGGCTTAGAACCCTACTTCCATAAACCCATAAACCTTCAATTAAAGGCCTTAGTTTCCTATGCAAAGGTTTCTTGAAACAGTGGTTTCACTGTATCGTAGAGGGCCTAGAGCAGATCATCTCCGCAACGTGACAAGCTCTTAATCTTAAGGAACGCATCTTCCACGATTTAGTTTGGGAAGACTAAGCCTTACATATGGCAAGCCCTACACCCAAAACAGCCCACCATCCGAGTTGTAGCTCTGCCCAGAAGAGACAGGCCCTCGACGGTCACGACAACGGGGCAGATGGGCGTTGCAACCACGCACCTCATCGAAACACTGAAGCTCCGAACCCTAAAGCCCAGACGCCTCTAAGCCCTACAAGCATCCCGGAGCCATGGCCCCTAAAACCTAAGCCTAATCCCTAGCATTAAGCCCTACAAGCATCCCGAAACCCTAAACCCTGAAGCCTAAACCCTAAACCCTAAACCCTGAAGCCTAAACCCTAAACCCTAAACCCTAGACCCTAAACCCTAAACCCTAAACCCTAAACCCTAAACCCTAAACCCTAAACCCTAAACCCTAAACCCTAAACCCTAAACCCTAAACCCTAAACCCTAAACCTAAAACCCTAAACCCTAACCCTATCATGGGTGTAAGGCGTTTGGAACCCTGCCCAACATCTGTCAAGCAACTGCTGAGCCTTGCAACCCCTATGTGAGCGGTTGCCAAAACTATCATCTTTTTTGGGGTACGTACCCTCAACAAATGAAACCAAAATTTTGACAGCCACCCATGTAGAGTTTAGGGTTCAGGGTTGATAAGCAATAGTTGCCTAAGCCTAAACCCTAAACCCTAAACCCTAAACCCTAAACCCTAAACCCTAAACCCTAACCTATAAACCATAAACCTATCAACCCTGGCTGGGGCCCTTTGAAAGTTCTGTGGCGAAGTGGCGGATATGAGGATATGGGGGCTTTTTCAAAGTCAGGGTCTGTGTTTGGGGAAGCTGCTGCTCAGAGTTTGTGGTTGAGGGTTTAGGGTACAGGAGTTCTAAGTTGTACAAGGTATCTGCAAGAGGCCCCCCCCTTCGCAGCTCATGCTCCTAGGCTTCCCCCTTATCAAACCCAACTAGGGAAAGTAGACACATCTCCCAAGATAACTGGACTTTGGTGAACCCAAACCCCAAACCCCATAGAAGCGATAGAAGAACGGCCCCGGAACGCCCAAAAGCCTTCTCTAGCCGGTAAACCCCAAAGGGCCCTGTCGGCCAGATTTCAGGGTAAAGATAGGGTTTAGGGCTCATTTCGGGGGATAGATAATTAGGGTTGAGGGGTTTAGGGTTTCAAGTTTCGGGTTTACGGTTGATGGGTTTCAGGTTTGCAGGGTTTAGGGCCCGAGGAATCTCGTGCAGACGGCCACATCCTTTCCCACGCAGACGCCTGCGGGATCGCAGTCGGCGATGGACACTCGGAGGCATTCGATTCTATACACGCACAACATATGTACATATCTATACATGTATATGCGTATACGTATGTGTGTAACTAAGATCTAGAGTTTTTTCTTTTTTTGGGTAGTATCCTCTTTAGGATCTTTTGTAAGCCCCACATCTTGTCCAAGAATGCTTGCTGGGATGTTCACCCTTATACTAACAGTCCTTAATAGAGACGATACTGGGGGGTACTATGTTCCCTATTAAGGGCTGTTAGTATGAGGGGCCCTAAACCCTAAACCCTAAACCCTAAACCCTAAACCCAGAATGCTGCATAAATAGTCCAGTAAGCCCTCACCTCTAACTGTCCAACCTGGGCCCTCAGGCCACGAGCCGATCTCCTCCCTTGTGGGGTTTAGGGTTTAGGGTTTAGGGTTTGGGGTTTAGGGGTTTAGAGGTTTAGAGGTTTAGAGGCTTAGAGGCTTAGAGGCTTAGAGGTTTAGAGGTTTAGAGGTTTACAGGTTTAGAGGTTTAGAGGTTTCGGGGTTAGGCTGTAGGGTTGAGGGTTTAGGGTGCAAAATGCCCCTTCTAGTGAAGTAGGTTTTCCCAGTTTCACAAGCCCTTGCCGTCTTCCGGTATGTGGGTAGTTCTCTAAATTAGGGTCCCTTTTTGAGATCCCTTTAGAGGGTGCCGCCTTATAATGGGTACCCAAAAAGGGACCCTAATGTAGGAAGCTACCCATGTGCAGGTGCTCTGATCTTGAGCTCGACCGGAGGTCATGCAGTGGAACTCTACATGGCACCCAACACAAGCTCGAATATCCCGAAACCCTAAACTCTGAAGCCTAAACCCTAAACCCTAAACCCTAAACCCTAAACCCTAAACCCTAAACCCTAAACCCTGCGTCTTCTGAGGACTTCTTTGACCAGCTTGACGCGAACCACGATGGCGTGGTCTCCCGCGAGGAGTTCCAAAGGCTCATGCAGGCCGGTCCTAACCCCAAGTAGAGGGTGTTTTAGGGTTTAGGGTTTAGGGTTTAGGGTTTAGGGTTTTGGGGGTTTAGGGTTATCCAGCCAGGACTTTGGGGTTTAGGGTCCAGCGTTCCCCCCCCCCCGTGGAAGCTGTACCAAAAGCAGGTGGCCTATATGGACCGCCCGAAGGCTCGAAGCAGGTGACTAAAATAGATGTGTGTGTGTGTATATTTTTTTAAAATCAATTTAAACGCATAAGCTCCCGCAACTTCGGACCCTACGGCCCAAAACCCTCAAAAACACAACCCTCTGTCCCATGCAACCCCTAAATCCCCGGACCCACAGCCCTGGAGCCCAAAAGCTAAACCCTAATTAGGCCCTAAAACCTAAACCCCAAGCCCAGCCATCATATAAGTCGTAGGGCATAGGTTTAGGCTTTCGGGCGCCTTGTGGTTTACCATGAGATCCGTAAGTGGAGTCTTCGAGGCACTAGAGGAAGCTGAGGGAGCCTTGGGCAGTGATAATGCAGTAGCAAGAAGAAGAAGAAGAAAAAATGCTGGGCTGTGTATCTTGCTGCACTGAACAAGCTTCAGTTGACTGACAAGTTGTCGACAACGATTCAGCTAGGTTTAGGGTTTAGGGTGTGAGGTTTAGGGTTTAGGGTTTTGGGTTTTAGGGTTTTGGGTTTAGGGTGAGGGCGGTATTGGGGTTGCATCGTACCTTCTACATCCGGCCTCTGGGCTTCAACAGGCGGTATTCAACGCGGGTTTAGGAATTGGAACCCCAGAGTTGAAGGAACACAGCCGAAACCTGAATTTTGCCTAACCGCCGCGGGTGGCTTCTAATAGGGGCAAGTCCGTGACTCTAACGCTTAAAACCGAAACAAACTTGATGCTTGCCCTAAGCCCTTCAACCCTTCGCCTTCAACCCTAAACCCTAAACCTCAAACTAAGCCCCAAACCCAAAACCCTAAACCTAAACCCTAAACCCCAAACCCCGAACCCCAAACCCCAAACCCCAAACCCCAAACCCCAAACCCCCAGCGCAGGCCCAGGCGCAGGGCGCGGCCTCGGGTGCCCGGGGCCCGGGTGCACCGGCCGCCACTGCTGGCCAGGCAGGGCCACAGTGGGCTCTGGAAGGAGTGTGAGTGTTTAGGGCGTTTAGGGTTTAGGGTTTGGTGTTTGGTGTTTCGGGTTTAGGGCCTAGGGTTGAGGGTTGAGAGTTTGGGGTTGAGGGTTTAGGGTTTAGGGTTCAGCCCCAAAGAAGCCCCTGAGCGCTTCAGGCGTCCCAGTGCGGGAACCAGTACCTGCAGCGACCTCGGTCGGGGGGGGGGGTGGTTTTCGGGTCGGGTTTTGAGGACCCAGCCTGGCGCATGCGGGGCTCCTTACAATGAAGACCCCGCCCCAAGCCCGAGACCCTCAACCCACAAGCGCGATGCCCTACCCAAGCCACGATTTCAACCCTCGAACTGACAGCCGCATCGAGCATGTGTGTATCGAGAGGTGCATGTTTCTATGTGCATTAGGCAATCTTGACGCCCCTTCAGCTAGTTTCTGTTGATGTGTGCTAGTTTGGTATTACCCCTTGCCTTGGGGCCGTATTGTGCTGAAGGCAGCGATTATGGTGGGGCCGCGAGTGGTTTCACGGTTGGAAGGGCTCTTGCAAAGCAATGTGGAGGGACCTTGCTCTTGGGCACACTTTTGCTGATAAGCACCGCTGAAACTCTACCAGAACCCTCCATCCTCATGAGCCTTTTTGGCCTAAACCTTGGGATGTTCCCCCTTACACGAACAGTCCTGAAAAGGGATGAATTATAGTACCCCTCCCCCTCCATTATCATCCTGTAAGGGGGAACATGCCAACCTGTACCCTATAAGCCCTTAGCACCTTACGCACCCTCGACAGCAGTCTCAAAACGGCATCCAGCCGAGGGGTGGTCCGATGGCAGCGTCCTTTCCAGCGCAGGCCTTCGCGGAGCTAGTCTCGGGCTTTGCGATGTTTTTTTTTTCCACCGGGAAGTGACCTCCTTTGAAGTCCCTCATAAGTCTAATAAGCTCCGCAAAGAGCGCTCGTCTCGTCGCAGGGAGCCCCTCTTAAATCAGCCAATGCCCGCGCCGCAAATCTTGGAACGTGATAAATCAATTATTAAGCCTCATAGTGCCGTGTGCTGTTGCTTTGGGTCGATACATGAGGCCCAGACAAGCACAGCACAGGCAAAACCGGGGATTTATATACAAGGCCAATCAAGGCCAAGCGCCTGCTGAAAGAAGCCCCTGAGCGCTTCAGGCATCGCAGTGCGGGAACCAGTACCTGCAGCGGCCTCAGAGGGTAACCCTAAACCCTAAACCCTAAATTTAAGAGCCTCCGGCTCAAGCCGCCGACCGCGCAGGAGAACAAGTTTAAGGTTTGAGGTTTGGTGGATGGGGTTTGCGGTTCGGTGGGGGGGGGGGGGGGGGGGGGGGCTGGGGGGGGGGGTGGGGCCCTGGGCGGGGGGTAGGGGGGGGGGGTAGGGGGCGGGGGAGGGGGGGGGTTGGGGGGGCGGGTAGGGGCGGGGGGTAGGGGCGGGGTAAGGGGGGCGGCCCCTTTGCTCTGTGCGAAACAAGTTTACGCGGTGTGGGTGGCCTGTTCCTCCACGAAAAAGCTGCCGGGGTACCCCCCCCTACCCCCCCCCGTCCCCCCCCACGAAAGGAGGGAAAAGGGAGGTTTTCACCTCCAGAAACCCATCCAACACGCCGCCAGGGTCTGCGGACCTCAAAACCTAAACCCTTAAAAACCCTAAACCCTGAACCCTAAACCCTAAACCCTAAACCCTAAACCCCAAAACCCTAAACCCAGTGGACCCGACTCCTCCGAAGTTCCATGCGTTCAAGGGACCAGCGGCTAAGAGTTTTAGGGCCTTTTGCCGTCATGCAAGTGTATATAGGTACCTGCATATACATTGATACTTTATAGGCAGGCTTGAAGTCACCTTGCACTTGGGCAACATTGCGCTCAAGTTGCGAGATGAGGCGGACGTATTGTTGCCCTGGGGTCTAACCCTGAAATCTGATCACACGCTGCACCGTCGCCCTATTTGGAGGGCTGTTCCTCAACCTTAAATCGCTCCTGATGCCAACGCACCGCTACTGCCAACTGCCAACCCCCCCCCCCCCCCACCTCTCGAAATGCCAAGTCCCTAAAGCCTAAAGCCTAAAGCCTAAAGCCTAAAGCCTAAAGCCTAAACCCTAAACCCTAAACCCTCAACCCTCAACCCTATAACCCTATAACCCTAAACCCTAAACCCTAAACCCTAAACCCTAAACCTTAAACCCGAAACCCTAACCCTAAACCCTAAACCCTAAACCCTAAACCCTAAACCCTAAACCCTAAACCCTAAACCCTAAACCCTAAACCCTAAACCCTAAACCCTAAACCCTAAACCCTAACAAACAGAGGGTCCAGCTAAGGGGTGGCGGCCCGATGGCGGCGTCCTTTCCAGCGCAGGCATTCGCGGGAGCCATGGCTTCCTCCACCCTTAGGGTTTAGGGTTTAGGGTTTAGGGTTTAGGGTTTAGGGTTTAGGGTTTAGGGTTTAGGGTTTAGGGTCTATAGAGTTTAGGGTTTCGGGTTTAAAGTTTAGGGTTTAGGGCTTAGGGTTTTATCTAGGGGTAGTTTCATGGGCCCTTAACATGGTCCCTTACCTCCTTTAAAGGGCTCTGATGTAAGGACCCTCAATTTGTGTAGGGTGAATAGGGGTGCCCTGTAGATTTCAAGGGCCCATATTGAGGGACCATGTATCTACCCCAATTAAGAGTTTAGGGTTTAGGGATCGGGGTATCTTAACTTCAGGGATGCGAGGAGGGACCGCTAGAAGGACCCGGAATCCTGCCTGCCCTGCAGAGCCCCTGTACCCTAAACCCGAAACCCTAACCCCTAAACCCTGAACCCTAAACCCTAAACCCTAAACCCTAAACCCTAACCCCTAAACCCCAAAAACATGCTAAGACAAACGCAGCTCTGGTGGGCCCCGATCTGGATTAGCACCCCCAACGCTGCGCTACATAATGCTGTCGTGTTAAACCCTAAACCCTAAGTCCTAAGTCCTAAGTCCTAAACCCTAAACCCTAAACCCTAAACCCTAAACCCCAAACCCTAAACCAGTTAGAAGTACACTGATAATAAGTACCATGAACCTCCAAGTAGCTGTGCGGTGATGTCCCAAAGGTCTTGGAACGTGTGCCAATCGGACATCTGAAACCTCATAGTGCCACCAATGGTGCTAAGAAATCCTCTGAGGTTGGCGCGCGGGGCTGCAGGGGGAAGGCCCTATGGAGTGTAGGATCTATACTTCGGGCCCTCTAGGGCCGAAAGAAGACAGGACAGCACCAAAAACTTTGAATAGGGTTTAGGGTTTAGGGTTTAGGGTTTAGGGTTTAGGGTTTAGGGTTTAGGGTTTAGGGTTTAGGGTTTAGGGTTTAGGATTCAGGGTTTAGGGCTTAGGGTTTTAAATCTATAGTGTAGGGTGTAGGGTTTAGGGTGTAGCCCCAAAGAAGCCCCAGATCGCTTCAGGCATCCCAGTGCGGGAGTCAATACCTGCAGCAACCTCAGAAGGGGTGGTTGAGGGTTTAGGGTTGAGGGTTGAGGGTTGAGGGTGCCAGGAGCACATTGTGGACTCGAGTCTTCCGAAGGCTCTTGCGTGGCGCGTGCTATTCACACCAGAAGATGTCAAATCGAAAAAGTCCCCAGCATTCCTCTTCCAGCGTCAGTGACAAGGGCTCGGGCGTTGAGGTTTAGGCTTTAGGGTTAAGGGTTTTCTGGCTTTCAGGAATGGTATTGCTTGGAGGTGGGCTCCTCACAATGAAGACACGCACACACACACTTTTGGGATGTTCCCCCTTTTACCAGCAGCCCTTGACTAATTAAGCTATAGTACCCCCAATTATAATCCCTTTTAGGGGCTGTTAGCATAAGGGGGGACATCCCAAACACACACGCAAGCCCGCGGAGCCCTAAACCCGAAACCCGCACGCGAGAAGCTTTACTTGGAAGTTCTCGGGAAGTCGCACGTACGGTTAGACGTTCGTTAACTGTAATTAAGGTTACAACATGTGTTTCTTTACTCATAACCCCACTTATTTCTGCCCCATGAAGCTTCAAGTGCCCACCCAACCCCCATCCCCTCTCTCATCCCCCACGACCGCAACCATCAACTCTGCGAATTGACTA